TCCCTGAAACCAGCTCAAGAATAATCCACACTTGGACAAAACTAGCCATTAAACACAAAATTACTGTCAACATCAAATTCTCTCAAAAACCCGACCCGGAATTAAAATCGTTACTAAACCAAAATTATTTAGAATCACACGATACCAACGTCATCAACTGTCCAGAATTCTACATCGAAGAAACAGGAAGAAAATTGGAAACCAGATTCACAGAACACAATAAAAACCCGTCCCATGTTTTCCACCATTGCAACTAAAAAAACCAGAGTATATCTCTTAAAAACACTATCAATTTAAACGAAAAACCAAACATAAACAAACGAAAAATCAAGGAATCCATCTTAATTGAACAAAATAACCCTACTCTAAACCAACACCCTGGGGTGCCAGTATATCTTTTCTAAGTCGTACAACAATATCCGGTCATGTGACCTCTTTGTTCCATACTGTATATATATATCTATGTCAGTGTAAACTACTTGTACCTGATGATGACGAAACCTTGTCGAAACGTTGTACATTTGTTGTTATGTTAAACTTATATTAAAGTTTTTCTTCAATACCTATTCAAGCCGTCTCCAAGCGTTATTAGTCTCAAAGTGGGTTCCTCGTCATCGAATTCGGATAATGGGAATGACCGTCACATTATAATGCCTCCACAGCTGAAAAGGCGAGCTTGTTCGATGACGGGGATTCGAACCCGCGGTCCGCAGATTGCGAGTTGAGCGCCATAACCACCAGTACATTTTGTTAAAATAAAAACACAAGTTTGATTGTTGAGAAGATGGAAGAAGGGGTGGTGTGGGGGATTGATGAGTCACGGATACCTTCGGTTAGAAACAACTGTTAAACACTTCGGCATGGGAGAACTGACTGCACACTAAGTTTCACCTTCCTTGGTTTTTTAACGTAAAAGGGGGGGTGGAAGAAAAATTTAAAGAAAAGAGCTTAGATAAAATCAATATTAAGTCGGTTTACTAGCATTCCAGAAGACCTGAGGGAAAACAGTTTTTGTTTTTCAAAATCGCACGAGAAAACTTAAAATTCAGGCTGTCTAAAGACCTAACATAAAACACTAAGAAAAATATGTGAAATTCTCTTCAGATGTCGCTGTTTTGGATTCCTTTCTTCAAGAAGGAATGCCACAGTTTTCTCCACGAATCCAGAAATAGATGTTACAATGTGATCTCAAAAACCTGTTCAGCATTGATTCTTTAAGAGTTAAAGAACAAGTAGTAAAACGACAGACGCGTGTGTACGTCACAGAAAGTTGGCAAGATCTTACACACTCGAGAAACGCTAAGTAAGTGATAAGTACAATGTGAATTTATTGCTATAGCAGGTTTCTACGTGCAGTGGTATGACATATTATAAACCTGAATTAATAGATATCACGTATTCAGAAATATTCGCATGTTACCTGTTTACTAAGAGACTTACTTATACTCATAGCCCCCTCCCAGTGACTCAGTGGTAAGTCTGAAGGTTTACGACGCTAAAAACTGGTTTTCGATACCCGTGGTGGGCATAACAGAGATAGCCCATTGTGTAGCTTTAGGCTTAACAACAAACAAAATATATCTATACATTATCGTGATTGTACAGTCAGAGTTATGCGTAGGAAGTCGTGTTATTGATTGTTCAGCAACAAAACACAGACATTCTTTTTTTCTTTTTCTAGAAATAAAACTGTATTAACGTCATTACATGCTCTGAATTTGTTAAATTGATATCATACTTGGAATTAAAAGTCCCTTGACCGATCTCTGGGACATTGACACCAGCAGGCTCTTACACAACCGTTAGTCTTAGGTCGTTGCTATTACGTCACTTACCTGAGTGTTAACTTTCGTTTGTTTGGGTTTCCAATCAGGTCGTCAAGTATGTGAGACCACTTAAGGCATACTTACTAAATAATATATAAAAACAAAAGAAATTAAAAAAAGGATATGCCATATTTTTGGAACAGGGAATAATTTAGCAATGATTGATGAAAGACTTAAACTTGCGAAAATTAGTGAATATCAGCGGACCTACTTTCTTCGTGCTAGCACCATTTGTCGTTATACTAAGTGCGATATTTTGTTTGTTAAGCATAAAGCTACACAAAGGGCTATCTGTACTGTGCACATCGCAGGGACCATACCTTGCATTGTAGTGTTATAAGCCCCCACTGTTATTGCTAGGCAAAAGTTAGGGGGGGGGTCAAGTGTAATCATACACGTAGATTATTGCACGGGTTTGCGACTTAGACAAGGACTATTTGTTTGTTTGTAATTAAGCACAAAGCTACACAATGGGCTATCTGTGCTCTGCCCACCACGGGTATCGAAACCAGGATTCTAGCGTTGTAAGTCCGCAGACTACCGCTGTACCACTGGGGGAGGTATTTAGACAAAGAAGAATATTTCCATTTTATAACTATTACTGTCTGGGTCCTACAACCCAGTAGCTCAGCGGTAAGCATGATGGCTTATAACACTAAGATTCAGAGTTCGATCCCTGCGTTAGGCACAGCCCATGTGCACCGTTGTGCAACTTTGCACTTAGCTAATAAAAGGTTAGCTGCGAATCGCGATTTTTGTATATATATATTAAACAAGTGATCAATCTATTTTTAAAATAGAATACGAAGAAAAATAATTGCCTCTTACAGACAATGCCCCCAGTGGCACAACAGTATGTCTTCGGACTTACAGCGCTAGAATCCGGATTTCGATACCCGTGGTGGGCAGAGCACAGCTAGCCCATTGTATAGCTTTGTGCTTAACTACAAACAAACAAATTTACAGACAAAGCAGATCTCACGTTATTTTAAAATTAACATTCGACAAATAACGCGTTTCCTGTTAAATCGGTGTAACTCATTTTTATTAAAAATATTAATAATTAGTTAATTATTGTGAACCGTCAAACATTAATGATAAAAATGAGCGTTTATACATGTCCCCCGTGATTGAGAGGTAGGCTTGAGGGGTTGTAACGCTAAAAGCCGAGGTCGATTCCCAGCGGTAGACAATCGATTCACCCGTACATAGGTTAGGCTTTCATCACCAACCAAATAGTCAAGACTCATAGAGCAAGATCATCTTTCTAGTGTTAACACACATACTTTTACTTCATTAAATAAGTATAAGCATAAGCCATGAACTTTGGTGAACTATTATCAAACTGCATTTCAAGCTAAATTTGCGTTTCTTTTTAGTCTAGAACTTACACTTAGCGCAAATATGAAGATGAATATGAAAAAAAAAAAAACGTTTTACTACTCAATATTTCTCAGTACAGTACGAGAACAGAGATGAATAATTATGCTATTAAATATTTTTCAACTCATTACAAGAAAGGAATTAAACTATCGTATTAGAACAGTATTACACAGATCGCTAAATACTCATATAGAAATGAATTAAACTATCGTGTTAGAACAGTATTACACAGATCGCTAAATACTCATATAGAAATGAATTAAACTATCGTATTAGAACGGTATTACAAAGATGGCTAAATACTCATATTGAAATGAATTAAACTATCGTATTAGAACGGTATTACAAAGATCGCTAAATACTCATATTGAAATGAATTAAACTATCGTATTAGAACGGTATTACAAAGATCGCTAAATACTCATATTGAAATGAATTAAACTATCGTATTAGAACGGTATTACAAAGATCGCTAAATACTCATATTGAAATGAATTAAACATAGAATATCTCACAACATTTCTCAGTCGTTGCGCTCGGTTTTCACGCAGCTTAAAACTTGCTTTTAATATTTGTATCAGTCATAACTGGTATAAGACAAACCTAATCACGTGACCAGGAAGACCCAACGCCCTCCAGGTGAACACTAGAGGGAAAAATATTGCATCCTTAACCTTCAACCCCGGGAGAGACCTGAAGGGCGGTGCTAGAATAGGAAGTCTTATCCCGCTTTCACCAAGCGTGACACTCCGGTCGATGTCTTCGTTAGTAGCAGTAACGTCTTATAACTCGTCCAGAAAATCGTGAGTTTGTAATATTTGTGAGAAGCGTAAACAATATAATATTGTTACTGAATGTGTTCTGGGAGTTGGTGTGCAGTACCATATTGTAACAGAGAAGAATACACTTAAAATTTGAAAGTCGGTTTCAAATTCAAGATTTAGAGCATGGCTAAACACCTAACACTGGTAAGTTTAAAACATCTACAATTAACTTGATTTTTATAAGAATATTAGGCCTAATAATTTGGAAATGTTTCGAATAGTCTACAGGATTCCTTGGAATAATCCGTGAAGATTTTTTTTAACCGATGAATGATACTGCTTTGAAATATTTTCTTAACTTATTTTAACTGTATTACTTTCCTTTATTGATTCGTTGTAAATTCACAAATTGTCCCTTAGAACTAAAATGAAATATATATTTGTAACAGATTGTCATTTGAACAGTATAAAAAACCAATTGGTAGCAGAAACTATCTCTTCTTCAACGTGCTTATAATGTATGTTATTCTGTGGTGAATAAAGACATTACAAATATGAATTAAATCATCTGCTTTTTAAGTAATGCAGACTCGTGCACTCTATTTTATTTAGATCTGTTTTTTGTGGATGGAACTTGCTTTGATTTCATACGTCATAGCTGAAAAAGAAGCATTTCCAGAGGGCTTCTTTCCTTTTGAAGAAGCTTCCACTCGATACCAGACACCACCGAAAGTTCGAAAACCTCCGTATGTGATAGGTGATGGTCCTTGCCCCGGTGTCGATTTTAAAGGGCGATTTCCTCCAAAATATTCGTTATGTGGTGATCTCAGCCGAGGTTTTATTCCCCAAAATCCCATGAATCAATTTTCAGCGGATGATCCCTATCCTTTGTAAGTAATTTTATATCATGTAGAAATTCAAAGGAATAATATTCTTATCCAGCCATTGTTAGATCACTTTGGGATTGTTAATGACATATTTTTTTTTGTCTCACTGACCTTTAAATATGGGATGTTTGAAGAGAGTAAAAATTAATTGATGTAATGAAGCCTAACCAAACGTTTGTATTAAATTACCATTAACACGTATATATATCTGCATATTTAGCATATTGAAATTTTAAGTTTTACTATTACTACTACTACCATTATTTAAGTAATGATGCTAAGCCTTAGGAGGAATCTGTACGTTAAGAGACAAAACAATTCGAGAACAAGAAACGGTAGACTGTTATTTATATTTAAAAAAAAAACGAGTTAATAATATTTATATACTTCTTCAGAAGTTCATGTCCGACTTTACAAGGTTTAAGAATAACACATTTAACAAAATAACACACTTTTAATGCCGTAAAAACCTGAAAAATACAGTTAAGAAGTAGTTTAAAGAGTTTCAAAGGGTAGAACACGTGCACCTGATAGAAAATTCGTACTTATACATCTACGTGTGCATGTAACCGTAAACATATGACGAGTGTTTTCATTTATAATAAAGCTGTTCGTAATTTATCTGCATGCAATATCGAATTATTTCACAAAGTTTTCTTTGTTTTCCCAAACAATCTCACAGATCTCAAGATGCTGATAAATATTCAGCCAGTGTCGTATAAGGTATATTATAAACGGTATTTGTTTCTGTTGTTTGAGATTGTGAGTACAACGTATAAAAACACTATACAATAATTTATTTTAACACTCCTCTCCCTCATGCTTCCACAGACGTTGATCTTTGTGGTTCGCGTGCATTTTAAATATCGTAAAATGATGTGAAAGGTTTGATAAGCACAAAGCTACACCATTGGCTGGCTATTTTTACTGTCCCCACCACGGATATCGAAACCCTGCTTTTAGCGTTATAAGTCTTCAGACTTACTGCTGAGCCACTAGGAGGCAAATGTGAAAAGAAAGCTACCGATTTTCTTAGCAGTAAACTTACGAATCGAGAAATTTAGCGTAGAGAGATCTTGGTTCGCAGCTCGCGTCTGATATGACGAGTAGGTGTCACTAGGCGCTGGCACATGGGGCCCACGACCCGAATCCTCAGTTGGGGTCTTAAAAAAAATCATAATAGAAAACCATGATCGATATCGTACTGAAACACCGAAATTTCAGAAATTGAAAGGGGTTTACAAACGTTTTAGCTTGGGGCTACCCCAAAACCTTTGTTACTCTGGCTGAGGACCTCGCCAAATGATTTAATAATGACCACTCTGAGGTGCCTTACTTTCATTGCAGGATGTTCTTTGAATAAATATTTCAAGTATAAACAATATCATGTAGTCGTATTTGTTGCAATAAATGAAATGTCCAGTGAAAATATTGCTTTGTTCAGTGTTTAAGAAGTTTTAAAAAGAATATTTCTACATCTGCTGTGACTCCTCATGAGACGTCTCGAGGTTTGGTGCTATCTATGCTGTGTCCACCACGGGTATCGAAACTCGAATTTTAGTATTATAAGCTATCGTCTCACGGTCCCCAGTTTGGGAATTTACTATATGGTCTATATAACATTTATGAAAAGAACTTAAAACAATCTATATTTTCAATACATCTAAATTACGTGGCTTTGTAACAAAGTAACTGGTACGTTGTAATCATAAAACGTGTTATGGTCACAATGATACAGGCATAAACCTATAATGGGATAGTGCTATTTTTGGAGTTAAGAGTCCCTGTATTGTCAGACTTTTTCAAGAAAATTGTTATGTAGATACATTAATTGTAATATAGGTGCAATTCAGAAAGTGCGATCTCAACCCACACCCTGCATATGCACATGACTTATACTTATTGGGCTCCCTAGTGCCACAGCGGTATGTCTGCTGACTTACAACACTAGAAACCGGGTTTCGATATCTGTGGTGGGCAGAGCACACATAGCCCATTATGTAGCTTTGTGATTAACTACAAACATATTTATTGGTGCAAGAATGTGGAACATTATCAGAAGATACATTTGTACTACCTGCAAAACACGTAGGGTTACAATTAAAGAGTCTCCCAAGTGGTTCAGCGATAAGCCTATAGTTTTAGGACGCTAAAATCTGGTTTCAATATCCTTGGTGGGCAGAGCTCTCTCTTTATTTTATGCTTGACAATCAAACCAAACAATTAAAGAACCGAAATAAATCCAACACTTTGAATAAGCTGCAAAAGTAGAGTGATTGAATCATAATTTTTATCGAAATGTAATTAACGCCCTTTTTTTTCGGAAACATAGGTCATTCGTTTTGTTTTGTTTGTCATTAAGCACAGAGCTACACATTAGACTGTCTGTTCTATGCCCACTACGGGTATTCAAACCCGGTTTATAGCGTTATAAGTCCCGAGACGTACTGCTGAGCCACTAGAACAGTAGTATAGATATTCAAAACACTAGTTGAGAGACACATTTCTGAAAGTATATTTTGAAAGCTAAACAAATAAATATATGAATTAATTCAATCTCAAGGCATCGAATCCAACAATGAAATAGGATAATTAGACAGTCCGTTACTTTCTGCCTTTAACAACAAGATCGGTTACACAACCGATTTCGTGTCAAAATGCACATAAGTAAGGCTTAGCAAGAGTCTTAAACGTAACGATATGTTTCCAAGAAACAGAATCAAAGTAAGTCACTCGTACACTGGAACCCCTGATGTTACATAATTTCAAGTATTATATCCCCTCAATATTCGTCACACTGAATTTGTTAAAGCAAGTAAAACAGAACGTATGAAAGTATTTACTATCGGGTTCCCCTCTTATTTACTGAAATAATGGTTAAAATGTCAAGTTATTCATTTGATTAATTTTATTTTTCTTAATGAAAGATCATTACTTCGTTAATATCACCAACAAGGTTACAAGGCTTATCAATCTATACTTCATTGTTCTAGGTGGTTATTTATTGAAACTAAGATCTCTAATTATTATACAACACTATTATTTTCAAAATTCGTGAACACCAAAGTTAAACTTACATTTTGTATTTAAATGCGTATAGTCGGAAAAATGGTAATCTCTAACCATGTATTTTATGTGTGTCGCTTAAATATTAAAAAACCTAGTGACGAAGATGTGATTCATTTTAGCTAGCATCACACACACATATATTAGTAGTATGCAGTAACGTTTGTACGGCATATATTTTGCTAACCTTATTGTATTCTAATAAATTATGTTTTCCTACATTAGTCTCGCCTTTCTTTGACACCTTAAATTATCCAAAACAAATAACAAGGTCAAGACAAATAGAGCAACTCTAACAAGGTGACCTGTGCCTTATGGTAAAGCAGGTGTGATGATGAAAACAATGAGTGGGTGTTAGTTTTTCCCGTCTGCGCTCATTCATCGTGCACGTGGCAACAAAAGAAACAGCATATCTGTTTTTATTTCGTATCAAATCAAGAGTTATGGACCCCAGTGGCACAGCAGTATGTCTCCGGACTTAGAAGCTAGAAACCGGGTTTCGATACGCGTGGTGGGCAGAGCACAGATAGCCCATTGTGTAGCTTTGTGCTTAACTTCAAACAAATATCTAAAGTACCTAATGATGACAAAACCTTGTCGAAACGTTGCACATTTGCTGTTATGTTAAACTTATATTAAAGTTTTTTTTTCATTACCTATTCAAGCCGTTTCCAGCCATTATTACACATATCGCTTGTTTCCTCAACACACTATGTTCACTGTACAGACGTAAGGCCTACGGTTCTTGTTGTATTAGTAAACAATGGTTATTTCTTACTTCTTAATGTAGTATGTTTAAAGGGTTTACAAATATTACTGTGTATGTTGCAAAATTAGCATGAATGGATGGTTTATGGGTTACGCACAAATAACTATAATAATTACTATGATAGATTGATAAATTCTTGCATAACTGTGTTTGGAGATTTTACATATTTCCAACATTTCTCGTGATTATTAAACTTTTGTTTTTAAGATTTATAGAATTTTTCTCTTGCGTCAAACGAAAAACACAACAATTACAAAAAATTTATGACAACCCCCTGTGACAATGTTGCTTGATTAAATCAGTGTAAAAACATGCAACGTAAAGTGTGACTATCATATATCTTGCCTCAAAAATTCTACTTTTTGCAATACGTGATTTCCGTAAGATGCCTTATCTCTGTTGTAATATTATAACCATTTACGAACTCTGAATTACACTACACACCTCATGCTAACATTATTATCTAGGTAGAATAACGTCTCGCTGTTGTGACGCCATATACTTCTTTTTATCTACCACAGAAGTGTGTGAATAACTGTTAAACAAATTATGATTTATACCATACACTTCTTTTTACCGTACCACAGAAGTGTGTGAATGACTGTTAAACAAATTATGATTTATACCATACACTTCTTCTTAACTATCCCAGAAATGTGTGAATGACTGTTAAACAAATTATGATTTATACCATACACTTCTTTTTAACTATCCCAGAAGTGTGTTAGTGACTGTTAAAAATATTATGATTTATACCATACACTTCTTTTTACCTACCACAGAAGTGTGTGAATGACTGTTAAACAAATTATGATTTATTATTGTTCAAGACGAATGAAACAAAAAGTGTGGCAAGGATTAAGACGAAACCATTTTTGAGGAGATTTATTTAAAATTGTTAATGTGAAAAAAAAAGGAATCGGTGCTTAAAAATGCAACAAACCAAATTCAGTTACCGAGTCCTTCCTACTTATACGCTCCCCAGTGACACAGCGGCATGTCTGCGGACTTGCAACACTAGAAACCGGGTTTCGATACCCGTGGTGAGAAGAGCACAGATAGTCATTGTGTAACTTTGTGCTTAATTACAACTAACCAAACTACTTACACAGTATCGTAATTACCACACATTCAAAATATATCTGCTCAAACAATTGAATCCTGTAATCGTGTATTCCTTTTAATGAAATCTTTATTTATGAATTCACGACAAGATGACAAAATTAGGGCGGCACATTAAGTAATTTTACCTCAGATACACAATAACCACTTAAAATGGAATGCAATTATAATTTCATGTTTTTGCATAACATATGAGAAAATAAACATACCATTTTGTTTTCTCTCCTTTGGGTCTGGCATGGCCAGGTGGTTAGGGTGCTCGACTCGCAATTTGTGGGTCGCGGATTCGAATCTCAGTCACACCAAACATGCTCGCCCTTTCAGCCGTGGGGGCGTTATAAAGTGACAGTC